ACTGGATTATCCCGGGACACGCGCGGTGTCTGTTTGCAGCCGAGGTGAGACCTGTGCAGGGAGGAGTGCGTTTCGATGGGGTTTGGGGGCTTGTTTGGGGTTTTCTTGGTGCCTGATTTACGGGGCGAGGGCTGGGAAACGCAGCATCGGCCTTTCAAACCCCTCTCCTGGCGGTGCCCGGGGTTTAACCAGGACTATCTGCTTTGCTTTCACTCTTTACAGTTTCTCTTCGGCTGCAAAACCCGACCCTCTCGCTGGGCTCGGGTGCCCCGAGCTGGGGGTGCCCAGCCCCCCCGAGCAAGGAGAGGAGACACGAGCACCTGAGCCTGGGAGAAGGGGCGGATTTAAACCCGCTGCTCTCCAGGCCCCGAGTCCCAAAGCCTTTACCGGAGTTAGGGCAGAACAAGCTACAGCAAAACGCAGCCAGGAGAGGCGGGCGCTCCCCTGCCTGCCCCTGCACCTGGTCGGGACCCGAGGGTCCTGCCGAAGTTATTCCTTAAAATACTCAGTGGCCCAAGCTGAATGCGCCTGCCCCCGTAGCCCGGGAGCTGGCAAGCCCGGGTCCAGGCCCCTGTCACCTGGGGAGCATCCTTGCCACGTGCCCCTGGTTTCTGTGGACATCAGGAGCCTTTTGGGGGGAGCCGGCTTGTGGGGGTTCGGAGGACCCCGTGGTGCCCAGACGCCAGAAGGGGCAAGAGTCCCCCAAACCCTTGGGTGACACAGTAGCTGCCTCCCTGGGCTGCCCGCAGCAGCGATGTGTGCAGGGACGTGTTTTGCACCAGGCAGGTCTTCATTGGAAACCCCAGCCGTGCCCTCGGCTCATTGTCAGGGCCCAGAGGATCCCGTCAGGCTTGGGGCACGGCCCCGTTTGCTCCTGTACCGAGAACGTGAACTGGGCCCATGAGACATTCATAGATTCGTAGAAAATGAGGGGTGAAGGGAGCTCAGGGGGTCACATCCAGTCCAACCCCTGCTCCAAGCAGGACCAGCCCCGACTACATCATCCCAGCCAAGGCTTTGTTGACCCGGGTCTTGAAAACCTCCAAGGATGGAGACTGCACCAGCAGCTCTGAACATTTTTCCCTGGTGCCTGGACCCACACGTTGCTCTGGCCTGCAGAAACGAACGGCATTAACCGTCCTCGAGCAGACGCAGGGCAGCCTGCACTCCAGAGCAAACGGCTGGAAGATGTACGGTGCCCAGGAAAGGGCTGAGCGTGCCCACCCAGCAGCAGCACCTTGCAGAGGAGCCGTGGGGACCGCCCCCGCCCTCCTCACCACCAGCAGCCGGCAGCGGGGATGGGGAAGGAGAAGAGACGACCAGTTTGCGTGTTCACGCTCACCCTGGGCTTGTGGACCTGAGTGACGGGTGTGCAACAAAGTGAGCCCACCTTGGAGCACCAGCCCCAGTGACACGATTCCCCAGGGGCTGCGGGCTCCTTCCCTGCTCCCCACGGCCGGTCCTGGTTTCCTTGGGGTGCAGAAGAATTCAGGGGTTCAAGTTACAGGTAAATCAGGAGCCGGCAGGTGTGAGACTTGCATCCCTCGCTGCTCCTGCGTCGTCGTTACCAACGTACCTGGGCCTGCCCCACTAGCACTGGCTTCCCAATTGCAAAGATTTTTACTACAACCCCCCCCCTGGCTTTGCTTGTGATCCGAGCAGCACACGCCTGTGCCTCTCCCGGCACGAACGACTGGTCTCGTGCGCTCTGTTGCACGGGGGCCCCCGACAGAGCGGGCAGCAAAGTGGCACGTGCCGCAGGGGAAAGGGCAAGACACCAACCAGCTGGCTCTCCGGCCCTGCCGCGTGCTAAATAACCTCCCGGGCACGACCGTGGTTAGGACGACAGGATGTGGCACAACGAGCAGACCCCTGCAGCTGGGTGCGTGCGGCTTACTCCGTAACCCAGCTGCCCCACGAGGCGGGTGGGCATGCCCGTTCATCCTGCCTCTGGATGAGGGTTTATTCCTCATGCCAGGCCCTGTGAGGACCCCGCAGCCGGTGTCTCCACGGCCAGGAAAGCAGACGGATCGATGCTTCAGTGCTGCCACCTACTCGCCGGGCTCCCGCACAGCAGCGCCGGGCTGGGGGCTCGGCAGCTGCGCGGTGCCGGAGTCAACAAATCTAGCGTCGGGTCTCCCAGTCTGGGTGACTGTATTAATTTATGAGGTGTGTACCATGAAATCAGCTTAAACGTTTCTATAAATGCCGCCACGGCAGCCGCCGGGGCCGAGGCGAGCGCTGGTTAGTTTAATAACCTTTCCTTTATTATCTCTGATCCTTAGGAGAGCTCTTACCGTCCTACAACTCATTGGTTTGATGTTCAGAAACAAAAATACAGCCCTGGCTCCGTGGCGGGCTCCGGAGGACGGGAACGCCAGCGGCTGCAGCGAGCTGAGGGAACGCCACGAGTGCCAATCCCGCCTGGACCGGCCCGGCTTGGCTGACGGAGCTCGTGGCACCGAGTCAGGATGCCGTGCCGGCAGCAAGCTAGCAATTATAAAAAGAAAAATCCCCTTATTAAAATGAACCCAACTGGAGCTGGCCTCTGGAGCATTTCCCTTCTGGTTCATTCACACCCCTGCTTATACACGTGGGCACAAGGCCGGAGCGTCTTTAGGCTGCTAGGTCGGCGGTGGCAATCTCTCCGTTCGAGGCTGAGCTCTACCACAGCTCATTGATGGGTCTTGAGACGGCTTAGGAGCCCAGGAGTTGCAGGTCTTTCCGCCGGGGAAAGCAGGCCACGGGCTGGGATTTCTCTCCTTTTCCTTTCTCTGCATTGAGGGTGACACCTCACCTCGAGGAGGGATGGCGTTCGGTGGAGGTTGCGGTGCCATTGGGAGCTCCTCCCGGGCAGTGAGATATCTCGGAGGGCCGTGACAGCGGTGGGACACAGCAGCACTCTGCTATTCTCCATCCCCCATATGCAAAAGGCAGCTGCAATATCCCAGGACGCGTCCGTGATGAGCAGACAGTCATCGCAGACGGATACCTGAAAACCAGATGTGAACTCTTTTCTCCAGAGAGATTTCGGACCCGTCTATAGCTCCGTCCTCTCTTCTATTCCCAGATACCTATAGTTTATTCACGGCAGTCTTGTGAAGGGAAATGGTGTCCTGACAGCTGCCGTTCAGCTCAGCAGCTGGGAGGGTTGGTGCCAGGATGTTTGCCTTTTCGGCGCGTGTCCTAGCGTTTGCTGTGTGGACACCACCAGGAAAAGCCGTTCTCTTCATCACAAAGGACTTTGCGAAGTTCCACGCTGGATGTTTTCCTCCTCTCCCCGTTGTTTCCATCAAATGCTCAGCGTCCCGCGGCTCAGCTCCCTGGAGGAGATGGAGAGATCGTGCCACTCAGCTGTAAGGTGCAGCACACCGCCCCCCACCAGCAACAAAAGCTCCTCTGTACATGGCCAAAGACGACGTAAAAGGGCCCTTCGGTGCTGCAGAAGGCGGCTCGCGCTTGTTCCTGTAACGGCAAGGGGTATTTGTGTAGTATAAGCCTTGGAGAACCATGGTACAGGCCTCGCTCCTTGCAAATCAGGGCAGATCTCAAAGTAGATATTTAACAAGAGCATTCGTGGGGGTAGTTCTGGCCCAGATCTCTCAGTGACATGCCTGGGGCCCCTTCTGCTTTGCTTTGCATCAGAGAGGCTGAAGAGGAGGTAAGTAGGGAGAAAGCATGGCACTGGCTGGGGAAATAAAGCCACCGCACCTCGTGGTCAGTACAATGGCTGCACCGGTCACTTTAGGAAACATTTCCGAGACCCGACACCAGACCGGGCTTTGCCAGGCAGCGTCGGGCATTTCCAGGAGCTCGAGCCGTACGGCTGCAGTTCAGTCCACCCCTTCCCGCCCTACAAAAGCCAGGGGCCAAGAATAGGCAGACAGGTCTGCACAAATGGAACCAGCTGGTTATCAGCAGCCTGCAGTATAACCCACCGCTGCTTTGCCCCTCGCTCCCCACGCCAACAAAACCAAACGGCAGCACGTTTTCTGTTTAAGGCTTTTGCCCTCAAACATGCTTCCCCGGGCAGCCTGGGACACCTGCGTGTGTGGAGGACACGTGGATCATGGGACGCGAGTTGGGAACGAGGCCCAGCCTGGCACCATCAGAGAGAACGCGGCTTCTCCAAGCCCCAGGAGATCCGGGGCCAGGAATGGAGGTAGCAACGTGGTTACAGAGACCCATGGGCAGCTTAGCAGATGGGTGAATCTACCCATCTGTCCCCCACCGCAGGGCTGGGGTGAGGAGGTGACAAAGACGGTGACAAGACACGCACACTTCACATCTTATTTCTTTTTACTCTTCCGCCAAAAGCTTTAAAGTCATACAGCTGACAAGGTTGGAGCCCAAAGAGGAGCTCAGCCCTGCTGCCATCCTCTCCAGGCCCAGCGAGATGGAGCCAGGCTGACAACTCAGTCGTGCTTCCACACACCACCCTTCCTGAGACCCCGTGTTTGGTCTGGGGGCCTGGTCTCAAACTCTGCAATGGCCTGGGGTTGGGGCAAGACAGCTGGCGAGAGGAAGAACCATGCCACCCTGCAGAGCTCCCACTAACTGCTGCAAGGTGGCAGGAGCGGCAGGAAAGGAAGGGAGACTGAAGATCCCGGTTCTGGTAGACACCACGCGGGATGGGATGTCTGCAATGGAAGTGGTGCAGTGGGCAGAGATGGTGGTGGGGTCAGAACGGGGGAGACAGCTGGGAAAGCATCTACCAAAGGGGCAAGAAGGGTTATGCGGCACTCCCCAGTGTGGCAGTTTGCTTCTCCCCCAACCCCCTCATTGTGAAACCTTGGCCTCCTTCAAAATCCCAGTGACCTCAACAGGGTCAGAACTGCAACCCCTGCCATGCACGTTACACCAGTCTCACGTCTCCTTGTCTGACCTGTCCCTCCGACTGGCCCGAAGACCTGTGTTTAGCAATGGCAAGGCCTGCAGAGGAAGCAGGAGTGCTTTGCCATCACCTTCTGGGCAGCTCAGGACTTTACTGACAGCAGACATGGCAGCTATGAGCCCCCAGTGCAGTCAGACAGGAAGGAGCCACACAGGCTGGTGTAATAGGAGGGGTGGGCCCGAAGGTGGCTGACGTGAGCAGAGTCCAAGAAGTCGACCACCTTCACCGGGACACCGTGCTGCCGCCGTGCCTCAGCCATGCGCTCGACGTCGCTGGCCTTGATGATTTTGTCAGCCTTGGAGTAGAGATAGAGCTCAGGCCACCTCGAGGGGCCTTTCAGCAGGGCGTCGTAATGGTTCTCATGAAGAAAGCGGGTTAGAGGATACAGCATGATCCGCAGAATCACGACCAGGGCAGCAAACACGAGCAGGAGGGAGGACCGGAGCAGCGCGTTCATTGAGGACAAGACCGCCGCCAAGGCGCGGAGGCTGCCCAGCACGTTCCGCCTGCCGGGGCCGCTGTCAAAGACGGTGCCCACCACCCGGAGGTACTTGAACTGCCTGTGCGTATGGAGCAGCTCGACGACGTAGCGGTACAGCATGACGCCGCCGTTGCTGAAGACGTGAAACAGCAGCGGGTTCTTCTCCAGCCGGTGGTCAAAGAGCAGCTGCAGGAGCTGCTGCGCGGGGGTCCGGAGGGATCGGATGCTGCAGGACTCTGAGAAAAACACCATTCTCCAGGGAGCTGTGTAGCGGATCACTGTGCAGCCCTGAGAGGAACAGACAGAGGCTGTCACCGGGGGCTTCAGGCACCGCCCGGCAGGCAAGTGGCAAGACAGAGCTCAGGTTCAAGAGCTTCAGAGGCAAAAACCTTAGACGCTCTAAGCTTGGTAAGTTTGTGAAAAGGGTCAAAGGAGGCAGCTGCCTGTGACAGCAGAGGACTGGACGTGGGAGCCTAGAGCCACTCTTGGGTTCCTTCGTGAACCCACGGGCCCCGCTGGATTCTGGGTCGACAGCTCTGGGATCCAGCAACCCTTCTTCAGGGCCACCGCAGGAAGTTTCTGAGGAGCAGAAACCACCTCGCTCACCTTTGGCACATCTGACACGCTCACAAGGCTACGTGCGTGTGAGAGGAGAATGTCTTCCAGTCCCTGCCTGGTGACACGTTGAGCCCGATAGCATACGAACCTTGCAACAACCTACCAAAATCGCTGCTGATGCGGTTTCCACGGGCGATTCCCACCCAAACCCAAACCCAAACCGCACCTCCAGCTAATAACGTGCAGGTGTTACCAACCGTGATCCCTCTGATCAAGTCCTTCTGTACCAGCTGGGTTAAACATTAACAGCAGGGAGGCTGGGTAATACTTCTTAATGAACTTTGGCATTTATATTGGAAACATTTTTGGATTCAGAACAAAGTCCATTCTCGCTACCGAGAAGAATAATGGATTTCAGTTTCTCTAGGTCCTAATGCCATCACCCTCAGTCATGCCCTACGCCAACAAAACAAGGGCTTTCCAAAGGGGAACGAATGATTTAAGGGATTGGCAGCGGGACACATAGAGTCACAACCTTTCTCCTCTGGGGCACCGCAGCAAACCCCGTCCAGGTGGGGAGTGACAACACACGGCTGCCATCTGGGAGCTGTTCCCCAAAGGGGAAAATGAATTTGGGAGTATCACACCAATCCCTCGTGGATGTCCCTCAAGCCACAAGAACTCCCCTAATGAGGATGCTCATTAGTCTTGGCACAAAAGGCAAAAGTTGAATGAACCACAGGGGAATGAACTCCTTCTTCAGCTCTTGCATTAGCCCTGCTGGGGCGGGGAGACTGTGTTTTCACCCTCGCCGCCCCGTTAGGAGTGTAGATACACGGAGGATGAAGTCGTGCAAGTTTCACAACCTTCGATTATTTCTGAGGTTTGGATGGGGGAGCAGGTCCTTTTAAGCAGCACTTTCTGCCTCCTACCTGAGCCTACAGCCGGGGCCTTAAAGACAACGTGCAGCGAATCTACCGCCGTGCTACGGGAGGATGCAGAGCGCTTAGGGCAGGGGTGGGCACAATGCGGCCCGCGGGCCGGATGAAAACCGCCGGGCCATTCTATCCAGCCCGCGGGGCCCCTAAAAAACGTAGAAAAATAAATATTTATCTGCCCGGGCTGCCTGTCACACAGCCCTCGATGGCTTGCCAAAACTCAGTAAGCGGCCTGAAATAATTCTCTGAACAGAAAAGTCCTTTCACCAGCGCACGGGAGAGAAATCAGCCCCAAAACAGCGTCGCTGCAGCCCGGGATCTCGAATGCATTTGAATGATTTCCGTCCCTGCAGCCGCTGGATAGCGACAGCGCTCACCCCCCCACCCCCACCCCCGCCAACTCGGCGTCCGTGGCGTGTCGGGGCGCCGGGCCGGCGCTTGTGCGAGGTCGCTTGTCCGGTTTAGTTTGGAATAACCTAGACGGACGCTGGCGCGGGACGGTTCAGACGCCCTCGATCCTGCCGGGACGCGACGCAACCCGAGGGCGCCACCGGCGGCTCAGCTGCAATTGTCGTGAGCGTCGGGACGAGCTACTCACCCTCTGCCGGTAGACGCTGCTGTACTTCGCCAGGTGCTGGTCTCTGCAGCCGCCCCAGCCCAGCAGAACCACCACGGGCCGGGGGCGCTCGCTGCCCCGCTCTGACACAACCCGGGAGACCCAAGAAGGAGCTCAGCATCAGTCACAACAAGACCCCCCTCCCCCCCACCCCCCAGGGGTATTAGTTAACCCTTGCAGCCCCCCCCACCCCTTCTCAGCCCCAGGGGGTAGGACAGCCTTCCCCCCCCCCCTTTTGCAGGCATATGAATTAACCCTCTCAGCCCCAGGGGTATCAAACTCCTGCCCCCCCCAGCCAGGAGCATGGTTTTACCCTTTCTACCCCAGGGGGATCAGAGCCTGGCCCCCCTGCAGGGGTATTAATTAACCCCTTCTGCCCCAGGGGAGGGGGGTGAATTAACCCCTCGTGGCCGGGGGGGGATGTGAATTAACCCCTTGTGGCCAGGGGCATCAGAGCTCTGCCCCTGGTCGGGGAGGGGTGTCAGGGACATGCCCCCTACCCGGACTCCCCCCCGGTGGCGGCGGCTCAATGGTCGCGTCCAGCTGCTGCCCGGCCATGGCCGCCCGCGCGGACTTCCGGCACTTCCGCGTTCGCCACCGGAAGCGCCCGCCCCCCTCCCCGGGCTGCAGCCAATGGGAGCGGAGAGCACCCCCGCCCCGTCGTGACCTTTCCCCCTAGCAACGCGCCCCGCGCCCTTAGCAACGGGACCTCCCGCCCGCGGGAGGTGCCGGCCTGCCATTGGCTCGCCGGGGTGTCAGTTAAGCTGAAGACACAGGTGAGGGGCGGGGGCGCCGTCTCCTTTCTCTGCCGGCAGTCCCGGGTGGGGGTGAGGGGGGGGGAACTATGATCCCCCGGGGCAGAAAGGGTTACTTCACCCCCCCTGGGGGGGCAGGGCTCACATCCCCCCCGGGAGAGAGAGGATTAAGCACTGGGGGGGGAGGGGGAGATCTCTAATACCCCCCCGGCGCAGAAAGGGTTAATCAATACACCTGGGGGCTCTGATGCCCCCCAGGAGGGAGGGAGTTAATTAATACCTGGGGGGGCAGGGATCTGATCCCCATGGGGCAGAAAGGGTTAACTCATGCCCTTGGGGGGGTTGATACCCCTCAGGAGAGAAGAGGTTAATTAATTGCGGCCCCCCTCAGGAGAGAAGGGGTTAATTAATACCCCGGGGGGGGCAGAGAGCTGATCCCCCATGGGGCAGAAAGGGTTAATTCGTGCCCTTGGGGGGGTTGATACCCCTCAGGAGAGAAGGGGTTAATTAATACCGGGGGGGGGCTCTGATACCAGAAAGGGTTAATTAAAACCACTGGGGGGGGCTCTGCTGCCCCCGCCCCCCCCGGGACAGAAAGGGTTAAGGACTTGGGGGGAGGGGGAAATTTCTAATTTTAATTTCTCATTCATTAATACACCTGCAGGCTCTGATGTCCCCCCCCCCCGGGGGGGAGACAGGGTTAATTAATAACCGGGGGGGGGGGGGACGGGACGGGACTCTGATACCTCTCAGGAGAGAGAGGGTTAATTAACCCGCCATGGGTGCGACTGCATCTGGGGAGGTTTCAGGCTGTAAAGTTCTCCTCGCCAGATCCGTGCGAGGACGGGCCCCGGGGGGGGTGGGGGCGCTTTACGGGACTGTAAATGTCAGGCGACCCATCTCGGGGAAACGCACGTTCCCGCGCCGCCCGCGCCGCCCGCGCGGCATCCATCAGAGCCCGGCCAGCAACGTTTCACGAGTATTCAGTAAATCACAGGCCCCGCTCGTGATCCTGGGAAATATGACTTTCACTCCACGGTTTCACCAAAGGCTCCTAACAGGCCGTTCTCCTGTCAGCACTAACATTTGTTATGGCTAATAACACTTTCAATCACAACGGTTTTGGGAAAATGGATTTATTTTAAACCTTCTCTCCCCTCAGAGGAGATCCTGAAAAAACCTCTGCCAAGGACACAGACTCCTACAAACCACAGCCCATTAATTCCCTAATGACATGCCAACTCCTCCTAATTCCCCGGCATCGTTTCTTCATCCAACTTTTAAACGATTCTTTTCAAAATGTCCTGAGCTCTGCGCCACGGTGTGCAATCCAGTCCGGGCAGCGGTGATGGAAAGTCACCCCTGTGCAGGTGTCCGCTGGCTTTTATGAATGAACCGGAGATTTCGGACTGGCTCCCGGGAGCCACGTCAGAGCCGGGTATTGGTGGTCCAGCGGACATAACCTCAACAGAAAGGAGCAACTCCTACCGTGTCCAGGCAGGGCTTCGCTTCGCCAATTAATTCGCTTCTAAATTGCATCTGAATTTAAACCTTCGACTTCCCGATGCAGACAAAGCCTCAGTCAGGGGGGTCGGGGCTGAATGAGGTAAATGAGGAACCGTATTTTTTTCCCCTCAAGGATGAGGCACGGTGGGCACGTCTACACGTGCCAATTTAAGGCGCTTTAACCCAATTTAAGGCACATTAAGGGCGTGTCTACACGTGCGTGCCCTTAATGTGCCTTAAAAATGGTGATTTTAGGCTATTCGTGCCTAAATTTGATACCTGCAAAAGCTCGAATTTAGGCGCAAATCGCTTAAGAGCCTTAACACACGTGTAGATGTGCTAAGGCACACTAGCACCGTGTATATTAACTAACTTTAGTCCCACCTTGGTCCACACACCACATTAATGCGCCTTAGCACGTGCACATGTAGATGTGTGCCTAAATCACCTTAATGTGCACTAGGCAAATTAAGCACGTGTAAAAGCAGGTATAGACATGCCCAGAGGGAACTGTACAGTATTGCAACCTGCGTTATCCCTTTACAAACACCTGCGTACAAGCCCAGCTTTAAGCTTTAAGCTGAAAGTCAAGACTGTTGGTTGGCAGGAGAGGAGCTGAGTAAATAGAGGACTTCCAATTCCAGGGCCCTCGATGTGACACTTCCTACAAATACTACTTACGCTGTAACGTGTAGAGGCAGGAATAGGGAAATCAAACAAATGGGTCAGCGACCATTCAGCAAAGTGGGGATCACTATGCTCAAGGTCCCTGGGGAGCTGGGGTTCCCTGCAACATCCCCATTCCTTGGATATGTTCATTATTGCTGCCCTTTTCCCCAGTTTATTTAAGACCAGTGAAACCTCTGGGCACAGGTTGGGAAATCAGCTGATAAAACAAACCAGTGCAAGCATCTAAAATGCAAAGTTTCCCCTTTTATCGTCATATCCCCGTACATTGCTGCTCCCATTTCCCTGCTTCCTGTCCAGTAGAGGCAGGCGTGTGATACAATAACCTTATTCCAAGGCAACATCAGGTGTCTTATGAACGTAGGAAAGAGGGAATGCTATCATGGAGATAGTTGGTGGCCAAGTCAACAGACATGGATTCTACTCCCAGTTTTGTTACAGATTTGCTATGCAGCCTTGGGCAGCCGAGTCAATCTCTCTGTGCCTCAGTTTCCCCTTTGATACAGCGGGGGTAGTAGCAGGGGTAAAGGAAACTGAAAGATTAAGTAATGGTTGCCAACTCTAATCAGTACTGGTCTTATTTGTTTGTACGGACTACTTTTCTCCTTCAGGGTCCTGTAACCCCCCTCTCTCGCACACCGCCGATCATGACTTCCGCAAAGGAGCAGGCGGCCATCGGCAGGCTGTTAGCCTTCCTGCAGGAGTGGGACAACGCCGGAAGAGCTGCCCGGAGCCGCATCCTGGACAACTTCATTGAGGCAAATCAAGGCAAGACGGGGCCAGAGTTGGAGCTGGAATTCTCGCAGGGAGCCAGCCTGTTCCTGGCTCGCCTGACAGCATGGCTCCGGCTGTCGTATCTCTTTCCTTGGGAATATGGCAAGGGGTGGGAAGGGGAAGGAATGAGGATGGGGATAGGCACTCCCTGTGCAAAAACAGCCATGCCCAGTTGAGTTATTTTGGGCTGCTAACAGCTGGAATCTGGGGGCAATTCTGTGCTGATGCTATTAGCGTAACCCAGCTCCTACTGCCAGGGTGATTCTGGGTTGCCCTGCAGATCTCCCTTTCTGTTCCTCTCTCCTTATACAACCCACATTGGAGCACCTCAGCCTTTTAATCAAGGGCCAAATGCAGGCTCCCTGCCCAGCTCGCTGATGCTAAGGGGAGGGAATTGCCCCAGCTCAGGGCTGGCCACGCTGCCTCTGCAGTGGTTTGTGGGCCAGTGGGCTTGTGGAGCGAGAGCCAGTGCTCCCTTCCCAGCATAGGGTCCCCTGTGGTGCGGGACCTTGCATGGTCATGAGCAGGCTTGGTGACCATGAGAATGCACTCCTTAACATCGCCAAACAGTTACATGAATGGAACATGCTTAGACCAGCTGCTGAAGGCCATAGGCATCTTTTTATCTGCTGCAAGTGGGTGAGTATCACACATCCTCCATGAGGTATGTTTGTTTGCCAGAATTACAGCAAACCAGGGTACAGACTGTAGCAAGGAGCCCTGATACCCTCCTATAGGGGTGTCAAACTCACCTGGGTGCATGGACCAGATCCAGAGCTCAGAATGGGTCTGTAGGCTGGATCCAGAATACAGGCTGCTCACAGGGCTGCACATTTGGCAGCAGCAGCATTAATTGCTGCATTTCCTGGAGCTGCCACACCTCACATCATCACGTTTCTGGCCCGTGGGCCACATGACAGCTCCACACTCTGGATTTGGCCTTCAGGGCCCCCCAGAGGGCTTGGAATTTGTCAGTGGGACAGGTGGAAGCAGCATTCATTGCTCCAGGAGCCATGACAATGAACACTGTCACTGCTCAGCCCATCACCAAATTTCTGGCCCTATGGGAAACCCTGTAGGCTGGATGACACAGCTCCGCAAGCCGTATCTTGGACACCTCTGCTTTACTACTAGGGCCATGTACAGGAAGGGGCTGTTGTCCTGGGCCTGTGCTTTTGAACTCCCAGGCTGTAGGCAGGATTTTCTCATCCCCTCTGCCTGTCTCTAGATCCCTTCTGTCAGGAGAGACCCACCCACAGACTGGTGGTGTAGGTGGATCCATTCTGAATTGGGCTGTGGGGCATGAGAAGCCAGCTCGGGGAGCTCAGATAACGTGGTGATGAGAACACCCTCGAACGAGAGGAGTCAGTCATGTGGAAGGTGCTGGACTTGCTATTTCGCACAAAACTGGGCAAAAGCCAGGGCAGTGCCTGTTTGCCAGGAACACTCTTTTATGCCATATTACACTCCATGCTGTATTTTATGCTGCTCCCTGTGTTAACTGTTCAGTGAATCCTGCATGTTCCCCACGCACAGTCCGATCGTTGGCCCCAGATGGGGGTCTGACAGGCATCTTCGTCATGGAGACGCACAGGTTCTCCATGTATGGTGTTCAGTATGTGAATGTGGCCACTCAGAGGAAAATCTCACCTGATCTGTTGGGGGCACAGCACATTTCCAGGTGGGGCATTTGCACTGGGGCTCTGGGCCGCCTTTGCGGTGACCAGTCCTCTTCCTCCGGGAGATTAGACACAAGGAGAAACAGGGCAGTACAATGAAGGTTGCCAATAATATGAAGAGCTGAGGAAAGAGGATTTTTTTTTTTTATAACCAGTGACCATTTCTGTTTTGTCGCCCTCATTTCTGCAGCCATAGGTACCTCATCGAATTTCTGGAGGTTGGAGGTGTCCTGACTCTCCTGGAAATATTAGGGTTGAGCCAACTAAAGGAAGAAGACAAAAAGGAGTCAATAAAGCTACTTCAGCTAGTAGCAAATGCTGGCAGGAAGTATAAGGAGCTCATTTGTGAGAGCTATGGTAGGTGTCAGGCGCCACATGTATTTGTTATCAGTCAAGCATTTAGGCACGGATCTTCTCTCTGGCCTCCAGACCCTTTGTTGCTCAAGCAGAGTCCTTGTACTGGAAGATTATTTTAGAATTTGTTCTTGTTGGAAGGAGTCCAGAGTTTCAGCCATTGCAGAGTGTGCGCGTTTCATCCCCCTTCTCATTTTTTAATGAGCCTACTTTGCGCTAGTTTTCCTTTGATGCATTACAGCAGTTGTTCTGGTTGCAACTATAGTTAGGGTTACAAAGCAGTTTCCCTTATAACCTGCTGGGTTCACGTACTCCTAACCTTCCCCAGCTTTCCCTCTTGGGGTGAATATTTTTATATTTGACATCTGTTGAAAGATCATTAAAATGACTTTTTTTTCTGGACAGTGAAAGCGAAATCTCTTCCCTTGGCTTGGAGTTTTGAGAATTAAAAAAAAATACCCTGCTTTTCCTACTGTAAAAGGAGCCCATTAGTGCAATCAGTGACAGATACCTGCCGTTTGAAACCGCTTCCTTAGTAGCAAGATGAAAATGACTGAACCAGTCAAGGGGTGCTCAGAGGACACAGTTGGCGTCATTAGAGGCAGGTTCTTTGCTGGTATACACGCACGCATTTCCATTGACATCCATGGAGTTTTGCCCCTTGGCACCAGCAGAGAACTTGGCTCCATTGTATTTTAAAATCAATGTAGTAACTACTGATACACTCCCAAGAATAAACTCCCCACCTCCACTCCCCAAGCAGTAATTAAAATGGGACGGAGTATTTGATCCTTTCTTGATATCAGTAAAGTGACCGGGCTACTGACCAAACTCAGATGAATAACCACTTGGGCTAATTTTCTTTTCAGCTGTGTGACTCAGAGAATCTTTTCATACACAGGTGTGCGATCGATAGCTGAGTTCATGGCCAGTTCCAAGTCAGAAAAGACTCAGAGACAAGTGCAGATTCTGCTGGACTCCTTAGGCCACGGCAATCCCAAGTACCAGAACCAAGTGTACAAAGGCCTCATTGCTCTGCTGCCGTGTACCTCCCCGCATGCCCAGCAGCTGTCCCTGCAGACTCTCAGGGTTGTGCAGGTGAGTGGAGTGGAGCGAGGGACAGAGTTCAGCCCCAGGGCTGGCGTTACCAGAACGCCTGTTCCGCCATGAGTCTGTCATAAACAGGAGGCAAAAAATATATGGAAACCCTGCTAGCATTCTAGGGACCTGGGAAGAGCTTACTGAACAGAGAAGCCTGAAATAAAACCAGCTCTCAGGGGCATCTACACATACACTTTAATGCTCATTAGCCTATTTTAATGTGTATTAAAGCATTACTAAAAAAACGATGTTCTTTAGTTAATGTGCATTAAAATAGCCTAATGTGCTTTAAAACATCACTAAAAAAACGGCTGTAGTTAATGCGCATTAAGATAAGCTAATGTGTATTTTCCTAGTACTTCACACTGGAGGGTGTGTCTACATACATGTGCATGTTAATGAGCATTAGCCTATTTTAACGTGCATTCAAGTGTCACAGAAAAGTGCTCTCTAGCTAATGCACATTAAAACAAACTAATGCGCCTTTTTCTAGTACTTCATTATGGAGGTACTAGATTTAATGCGCATTACCTAAAGCGCATTAAGGAATGTGTAGACCTGCGGAGGTACTAGATTTAGTGTGCATAACTAAAGTGCATTCATGCACGTGTAGACGCACCTGCTGTTTTGTAACTCAGCCGTAGGTGTCCAGGGCTGCGCACCCGATGTGGATAAGGCCGCACCAGAGTGAAGCCTGCATGCTGAGGTTATACTGGAGAAGGCAGTTGTGGAGCACGTATCCTTTTGTGTTCGGCCACGTGACGTTAACCCAGAGCATGGGCTTTGAGTTCCCACACGTTTCCACGCAGCGCTGAGAGCACTCTGAAAAGAACTGAGATGCCTAGCGCTCTTTTCTGCCTGATTTGAATAATGACATAATGAAGAGCTCCCCCGCCCCGGCCCATTTTCATGTCAGGCTCTGACCTCCAAGGCTGTGCATAAGCTGAGTGCTCCACTGAGATCTAACATTTTGCTTTTGAATATACTGAATGGAGACGATGCTTTATCATTCCCCGTCTCCTCTTGGCTGTTACTTCTTCTGAAAGGCAAGCATGAAACTGCCTTGTATTATCCTGGCTTTAAGAGAGTAAAACCCAGTCTTAAACTCACATCATGCTCTCACTACCTGGAGAAGCCCAGCTGTTATCAAAGGAAACCGTATGTCAGGATTGAGCATATGGTCTGTAGTGCTTCAGTCTTAAATCCTGCACTTCCCAAACTGGATTATTGACCCTTGAACGTAAAGCCTGCGCCTTGATCTCTTCTGTTGCACGCTGCATCAGTAAGAAAGTGTGAGCACAGACAGAGCCACTGGCAGGTTCAGGCTGTTCCAGAGCATGTGGGGCTAAAACCAGTTTAATTCCAGGGCTGCTTAGTCCTAGCATCAAAACAGGGGTGGGACAGTCATTTACACGAGGCTGAAATGGAGTAAAAGTTGCAGGATTGTGCCCTGGGTCCATTTCCCTTGTGCCACAGCACAGCCGGGCTGTTTAGCTCCCTGCCAAACCCAGATGAATATCTCACTGGGCTACAGATGTGCAAAACCCAAGGAATTAACACCCCACCTATTCCTTTGCTACCAGGCGATCGTGGGAAAGAGCCACCCCAGCATCGTGGAGGCCGTGCTGGGCGTGCTGCGCTCCATGGAGCTGGAAGTCCAATATGAAGGTAGGAGCCGTCCCAGCATTGCCACCCCCGGGGCTGCCCTTTTGATCCACTTGCAGGGCGATTCTCATGTAAGTTCCTATGGCCTCAGTGTCCCAGGGCTTTTGGGCAGCGGCTGAGAGTGCTGGCTCTGCGGGCTGTCTCGGGCTGAGCTGAGGAAGAGGGGAGGGGAGGCATGGAGCTCCCAGGCTGAGGGGATGGTACCACACGCAGATGCATCACCACATCACTTTGCTGTTGCTGCTGGAAGCTCTCTGGCTGCTTCAACCACTGTTTGCAGGGAAAATACATCGCAAAGGGCATTCATACTCTCTGCACGACAAGATTCTTTGGTAAATGTGATATCTTTTATTAGACCAACTCAATCATTGGAAAAATTGTTCTTTGCAAGCTTTGGGGCACAAACACCCGTCTTCAGGCACAGAGACAGTGCCCCTCACTCCCCACACGCAGCCCTGCTTGTGCCGCTCGCTCCTGACCCACACCCCCCTGGCCCTGCCGGTGCCCCTCTCCCCCCTCCCACAGCGCCCTGCTCCCCCTATGCCTGAAGAAGGTTGTCTGTGCCCGGAAGCTGGCAAAGAACATTTTTTCGAACTATTTAGTTGATCTAATAAAAGATATCACATCTACCCAAAGAACTTCATAGTCCGCCAGTTTTCCCTCCTAAGCAGCCAAGGCCAATCTCCCCCAGGCTCATGGCCGAGGGCAGAACTTGCTTCTCAGCCTGGAAAGTAACAGCCCTGCAAGGGTCTCTAATCGCTGCCCCCACCAACGCCCCTGCCGCAGAAACATCGAGCTGGGGGGAGAAAGGGCAGCCGGCTGGAGACCGGGCGCTCGCTGGGGCTGAGGGATCCCGGCTGCACTGCCTTTTTTTTTTTTTTTTTGCACAAATATTTATTTCTATTTATAAAAGTATAAATATGTATATGTTTATACAGACACACATACACATATTCATATATATATATAAAACTGTGTGTGTGTGTATAACTGTACCTCTAAATATATATATTTTTATACATACATACATACACACACACATATATATATATATAAACCCGTACCTCTAAATATATGTATTTTTATACACACACACACACACACACATATATATATATATAAACCCGTACCTCTAAATATATGTATTTTTATACACACACACACACACACACATATATGCGCACACACAGAGTTTTATAGCTATAAAACTGCACCACTAAACATATTTTATGCACACACACGCACACCGGTATACAAGTGTACCTATACCCAAGTGCCGAGGGCTGCA